AATCACCCACGGCGTGGTGGCTCGCCTGGCACAGGCCGCACAATGGAGGCCCAGCCGAGCGAGCGTTCGTGGCGCTCGCGGTGGTGGTCTCAGCGCCGGCTGCTATGGAGTCCCGGCTCACTCTTCCCAGCACCCCGCTAAGGGAGCAGGCGGCTCTAGGCGGCGATGGCGGTCCGCCCTTAACAAGGGCGACCGCAGTTGTTGCAAACCGCCTCCTCTCGGCCTCTCGGCCTCCCGGCTGCCTCTCCCTCTCGGCCTCCCTCCAGCAGCTACCTCTTCCCGGTGTGGTGGCCATAAGGAGAAAAATAAAATAATTATAATTTAAAATGAAAATAATGAGTAGTAAGGCTTACCTGTCCGTTCTTGAGGGTGGGAAGTAGAGATTTTGGTAGAAGAAAAATTTAACAGATGACTTAGAAACTTTTAGGCTGGCTCTATCTTAAGTCAATATTTGAAGAAGCCAAGGTTAAAGGCTGCAGGCGGAGGTAGGAAACTTGACTCCTGAGTTAAATCAATATTATTGATTTGAAAACTAACATCTAAAGGTCATGTAGTAGTAGCGCCACCTCCTGTCTGGTTGATGTAAATAGCAGGCAATTTCATACACCTTTTTAAATGATCAACTGAGGAAAATAATGTATTGTGAAAGTAATTACAGAAGAATTAATAAGGGAAATGCTTGCTTTGAATAAATTAAAGATACATATATGAAGACATATGTATAAAGAGAAATATATGAAGTTATGATTCATTCTGAAGATTACGTAAGTCATCTGGGAACATGGCTGGTCAGCTGATGAAAGGGGAGCAGTGGAAATTATAGTATCTTGCCAACAATTGTTCTTGGCCTCGGTTCCTCGAGGACAAATTGATATTGATTAGATTGTGTAAATGTCAAGACCCATATGCGCATGTGTAAACCTGAGAATTTATGCTATAAATGCTGGAGCAAATCTGACTTCCAAGGTGTGTCAGATATTGTTTTCTGAACACCCTGTCAGGCTTGATAGAATTAAAGGTCTGGAATCAGTTGCTGTCTCCTTTCTCTTCCTTCCTGATTGTGCTCGTCTGATCTCGGGTAACGAATCTTGATTGCCTCCACTCAGCGGGTCAGGTAAGACGACGATCAGAAGGGATGAAAAACGGGTGCCCACTGGAAAAACGGCCCGGCTGATCCTCGCCTTCCCTGCCTTCAGACTGGGGTACATTGAGAACTAACAGCTTTGATTCCACGGCACAGGTAAAGGAAAAAGGCTAGCCTTAAAAGAATGGGAAAAGGTACATGAGAAGTACGTGGGGAACATTTCACTGTAAGATTGTTGCGCAGAAATCAAGTGAAACCCCGAGTGACGTTTTCGCACAGAAATCGCACTCACAGGTCAAAGGAACACACTTTCAGGGGAAAGTGATAAGTTTGTTTTGTGTTAAGTGTTTGTTTTGGTTTATGAAATACTGTGTTTTTTTGCTTCCTTGCTTCTGTATTTTTCCATTCTTTATGCTTTCTGTGCTTACTTTTTTGTCTTAAAGATATATATATATCTAATGGTGTAGGTGCTTGTGGGCATAAAGTAAAATAGAAAATGGGCGGTATACCAAGTAAGAAGTATTCAACTCCTCTTGAATGCATGATGGAAAATTTCTCAAAATTTAGGGAGTTAACTCAAACACCAGGATGCAATAGCCCCCAGAAATTGAGATCTCTTTGTGAACTAGACTGGGTGCAATTTAATACAGGGTGGCCAAGTGAAGGAAGTTATGATTTAAAAGATATCAGAACAATTGTGAGAATAGCAGCAGAGGTTCATCCGGATCAATTTCCATATGCAGAGGCATGGGAAAATGCTATAACAACACAGCCTGCATGGCTAAAGAAATGTCAGAACAAAGAATGTGATGTTTTTGTAGCTCAAACTAATTTGAAAAAGCCTCAGGCAAATAAGAAGAAGAAAAGATTTGGAATTTTTCCTTGTCCTGAGGAAGAAGTAAGTAACCCTCCTCCTTATGTTCCTATGTACCCACAGTTAAAAACCATTGACAATGAAAGGTCAACCCTGGCTCCTCAGTCAACTTCTTTAACCACGCCAATATCTTCTGATACCTCTCCTGGGGAATCTACAAAGTCACCTTTAATAGATTTATCATCTGCAAGCAGATGGCTTCAGAATATAACAGAAGAATTTTTGCGAGATAGTCCCATAGCTGGAAGAACTAGAAGCCATAGTAATCCCAACCCAAAGATTACTTTTCAATTACCTTTGAGAACAATGGTCCAATATGTACAAGAGATAGATAACAAAGGAGAATTAACCCTGACTCCGAAAACCACTTACCAGCATGTGCCTTTTACCACTTCAGATTTGTTAAATTGGAAGTCTAATAATCCTCCTTATACTGAAAACCCTCAGCCACTTATAAATTTGTGTGAAACAATAATGGCTAGCCACCAGCCAGATTGGTCAGATTGCCAACAGCTATTACAGGCTCTCTTCACATCTGAAGAGCGAAGAAGAATCCTTAATCAAGGAACCCAAATAGCACAGACATATGCTGCCGAGAAAACAAGTTATAATCCCACTGAATGGGCTGCAGGGGCATTTCCTTTGACAAATCCAAACTGGGATCCTAATATAAGCCGAGAGATGGAATATATAGTCAGATACAGGGAATTTTTAATGGAAGCTTTGAAGAAGGGACCTCAAAAGGTGATCAACCTTAAGAAGATACAGGAAGTAATACAAGGAAAAGATGAAAGTCCAGGTGCTTATTTAGAGAGATTATTGGAAGCTTACCGAAAGTATAGTCCCTAT